TTTAAAATTATTTTTATTCTTTTATTTTGTATGTAAGAACAGAAATGTCAGTCGAAGCAAAAACATTCACTAACAAATCTAATGGCGAAACATTCACAAAAGGCACTTATAACGGTATTGAAGTCTTACGTAGAGACAAGGATGGTTATATAAATGCAACAAAGATGGCAAGAGAAGCAGGAAAGTTAAACCATTTAAACAGATTTCTCAATAGTGCTAAAATACAGGAAATTCTTGAGTTTTGGATGAATGAATACGGTGGAGCCAAAAGTGGCTCGACCTCAAAACAAGCATTTTATGAGCTTACTAAGGGTGTTATAAATGAATTCAAAGGTATTTACATACATCCTGACCTCGTTCATTTTGTTGCTGAATGGTGCTCTGTAAAGTATGCATTTTATGTCAAAGATATTATGGACTCCATAGACAAGAAAGTTCATGAGAAATTAGATGAAGAAGAACTTGAAGATACAGTAGAGAATGCTAAACCTTTGTTTGAAGAAGAAGTTGGAAAAATGTGCGAAAAACAATTAGAACATGAACGTGAGATATGTTATGGTTATAGAGATTCTCCATACGAACTAGACCAATGGGAACAAGAAAATTTAAAGAGAGAATTTAGAGAATATGAACTCGCTAAGATAGCATTAGAAGCTGCAGAAAAGAAGTTAAAAGCTTGGGGTTGTTTTGTACAAAAATATTGTGAGTAAATGAACCATTTATTTTTATTGAATTCACCAAAAATAATTTTTAGGGTAGATGGTTAGATCTAACCTCATTTCTAACCTCATGACATTTTGACAACAACACAGGAGGAAGGCAGTTATGACTTATTTTTGAAGAACTGAAGGTGTCACCAGGTCACCATGTGTCACCAGGTCATTTAACTTCTCTGAAAAAATGAGACAACATGACATTTAGACAACAACACAGGAGGAAGGTAGTTATGACTTATTTTTGAAGAACTGAAGGTGTCACCAGGTCACCAGGTAATTTAACTCATGACATTTTGACAACAACACAGGTTATTCAATAATGACTTATTTTTGAAGAACTGAAGGTGTCACCAGGTCACCATGTGTCACCAGGTCATTTAACTTCTCTGAAAAAATGAGACAACATGACATTTAGACAACAACACAGGAGGAAGGTAGTTATGACTTATTTTTGAAGAACTGAAGGTGTCACCAGGTCACCAGGTAATTTAACTCATGACATTTTGACAACAACACAGGTTATTCAATAATGACTTATTTTTGAAGAACTGAAGGTGTCACCAGGTCACCATGTGTCACCAGGTCATTTAACTTCTCTGAAAAAATGAGACAACATGACATTTAGACAACAACACAGGAGGAAGGTAGTTATGACTTATTTTTGAAGAACTGAAGGTGTCACCAGGTCACCAGGTAATTTAACTCATGACATTTTGACAACAACACAGGTTATTCAATAATGACTTATTTTTGAAGAACTGAAGGTGTCACCAGGTCACCATGTGTCACCAGGTCATTTAACTTCTCTGAAAAAATGAGACAACATGACATTTAGACAACATTTACGAAAATATGATGCAGCCCAAAAATAAAGTTAGTTTTAAAATTATTTTTATTTTTTTATTCCTATATAAATGACAGCAACAAACAACAACAACTATATCGTTTCTGATGAAAAAGTTATTGATTCATTAGTTGCGGAATTAGTTGTGGCAGAAACTAAAACCCTCAACGAAAGAATTGGTGAAAACATGATTGATTTACATAACTACCTCAAACATGATGGAGGAAGAGGAAGGAAAACTGGTATGGCTTTATTAGTAAATAAAATTTCAAATTTAACGATTATAGATGTTGATATCAATAAATCGTACAATGATGAACTTAAAGAAACAGTTAGAAAAGACATTTTATCAAAACTTTCGGATAAAGATGTTATCGTTAAAACCGCTTCAGGAGGTCTTCACATTTATTGCAACACTAATTTCTTCTATGCAGTTTCGAACAGGATGATTAAATGTTATTCCTGCAATGATTATGATATCGACATAATGACTTCAATGGATGATTCAAAGCGTTCATTAGTGGTTATGGCTGATTCAAGAGTTCGCAAGAATGCAACAGAACCAATCAATACATACTCATTCATTCGTGGAAGTTATGATTCAACATTAACCAGAACAGTGAATGATATATTAAATGATTTGAATATTAAGGTAAGAGTTGAACAGAAGAACGAAGAAATAAAGACTATCATGAATGAAAACAAAGATGTAAACATTGACGATAAACTAGCTCAGAGCATAGTTGATGGCATCTGTGATTTTGAAGTACATAATGACGGTGGAAACATGAATTTAGAAAAAGAAGTTACATTATTCACACTGTTTCAAGCTATTAATTCGTTACCTAATCATTTAATTAATGAAGCCTACGATAACGTTTATAACTTCTGCAGTTTAACAGAAAATGCAAAAAGTAATTTTGAAAAAGCACGTGGTAGATATGCACATTTAATGACTTCTCCATTTGTTTTGGTGAAGATTCTAAAACTTTATCAAAAGGAATATTATGATGAATATGTTTTACCTTTATTACGTAAGCCAAAAATAACATTTGATATCAAACTTGATGACTCGTTTTTGATAACAGATATTAGACGCAAGGCTGAAAATCATCAGTATAAAAACAGTTCTGAAGTAATTGAGGATTTATCACGTGTAATCCGTTTTGTAGATTGTGGAAACAAATATTTCATTCAAAAGGATTATAATATCCACAACAAAATGAATCAAATATCATTCGTTCTTCAGTCAAACATGAAAGAGTCACTCAAAATGATTAAATTATTTAAAGAAGAAGGTAAAACAATAACAGCATGGGATGTACTATTAAATCAATTGTCTTCATTAACCGTTAAGGGTGTTTGCTTTAAATCTGATTCTCCAGATGTTTTCTCAACGTTTCAGGGTTATAAATACAACATTCTTGAAAAGCTTGATTACTCAAAAATTGAGATGTTTATGAATTTCATTAAAGAAGCCATTTGTGATAATAACGATGAAGTGTATAAATACCTTCTCGGCTGGATTGCATCAATGATTCAACATCCTGGAATCAAGAATGAAACAGCAATTATTTTGAAAGGACTTCAGGGAACAGGTAAAAACAGATTTACAGACATTATTTCTGAACTTCTCGCTGGTTATTCATGCAAAAACATTACTGAAATAAGTGAGTTAACGGGTAATTTCAATTCGGTAGTTGAGAATAAAATGTTTCTTGTACTTAATGAACTCAAGAATGTTGGTGAAGATAGACTCGCAAACTTCAACGCTTTGAAATCAATTATAACGGATAATGAGATTAGAATTAATGAAAAGAATCAACCCAGAAGAACTGCTCAGAACGTTGCAAACTTCATTTTCGTAACTAATAACGTTTACCCTGTCAAAATTGAAGTTGGAGACAGAAGATACGTAGTTTTAAGGGTTAATGGTAAATTCAAGGGTCAATTTGATTACTTCAAGAATTTAATGGATTCATGCACAAAGGAATTTTATGATAACCTTTTAACATATTTTATGCAATATGACCTTTCATCATTTAATGTACGAATCATTCCGATGACTGAAGCCAAACAAGATTTAATCGAGTTATCAACAAATCCTTTAGATGTATGGATAAATACACATTATGATGAATTGTGTGCAGGTATGACGTGTAAAAATGCTCTATTCTGCAAACCATCAGACATGAAAGACAAGAATTTCCAAATGAGCATTAAGGATAAATGTGATAGGAAACAGGTAAGAATAGATGGTAAACAAACATGGTGTTATGTTTTGAAAGAAGAAATGAAAGGATTATATAAACAGGTTGAACCAAACGATAATGAGGATTCATTTACTGACGATGAAATACCTGTAAATGAAGCTTTATAAAGTATGATTTGAATTTATTTTTGCCTTCCTCTTTTTCGTACCTGTGTTGTCTAAATGTCATGTTGTCTCATTTTTTCAGAGAAGTTAAATGACCTGGTGACACATGGTGACCTGGTGACACCTTCAGTTCTTCAAAAATAAGTCATAACTGCCTTCCTCCTGTGTTGTTGTCTAAATGTCATGTTGTCTCATTTTTTCAGAGAAGTTAAATGACCTGGTGACACATGGTGACCTGGTGACACCTTCAGTTCTTCAAAAATAAGTCATAACTGCCTTCCTCCTGTGTTGTTGTCTAAATGTCATGTTGTCTCATTTTTTCAGAGAAGTTAAATGACCTGGTGACACATGGTGACCTGGTGACACCTTCAGTTCTTCAAAAATAAGTCATAACTGCCTTCCTCCTGTGTTGTTGTCTAAATGTCATGTTGTCTCATTTTTTCAGAGAAGTTAAATGACCTGGTGACACATGGTGACCTGGTGACACCTTCAGTTCTTCAAAAATAAGTCATAACTGCCTTCCTCCTGTGTTGTTGTCTAAATGTCATGTTGTCTCATTTTTTCAGAGAAGTTAAATGACCTGGTGACACATGGTGACCTGGTGACACCTTCAGTTCTTCAAAAATAAGTCATAACTGCCTTCCTCCTGTGTTGTTGTCTAAATGTCATGTTGTCTCATTTTTTCAGAGAAGTTAAATGACCTGGTGACACATGGTGACCTGGTGACACCTTCAGTTCTTCAAAAATAAGTCATAACTGCCTTCCTCCTGTGTTGTTGTCTAAATGTCATGTTGTCTCATTTTTTCAGAGAAGTTAAATGACCTGGTGACACATGGTGACCTGGTGACACCTTCAGTTCTTCAAAAATAAGTCATAACTGCCTTCCTCCTGTGTTGTTGTCAAAATGTCATGTTGTCTCATTTTTTCAGAGAAGTTAAATGACCTGGTGACACATGGTGACCTGGTGACACCTTCAGTTCTTCAAAAATAATTAATTATTGAATAACCTAAAAACATTAACGTAAACATATATTTTTGGTTGTTTATGATAAAAATAAATGATTCAATTAACACGGTACCATGCAAATATAGTCATAAATGGCGGCATGTAATCTTTACTTTGTCCCGTTGTTTGTGTATATCCTGAAACGCGATGTGTATGGTTTCCTCCTCCCTCAGTGTTACTCCAGTAACAATCTATAGCAAACTTAACGTTGTCTTTAACATCATATCCTTTACCTTTTATCATTGCTGACCAATCCCAATATCTATGCTTATGCCAACCCGCTTGAGATGTACTTAAATCTATGTAGTGACTATGTGCAGGTAAATTTTCACCTGAAATCGTTTTACTTCCTCCTGTTTCCTTTGAAGAGTTTGCACAATACAAAAACCTGTCAACTATTTGTTCCCACGTACCGAAACCCAGAACTGTTGCTGGATTTGTTGAGTTCATTGACGTATAAATAGAGCCTATAGGATATAATGTTTGAAGTATTTCTGTCTTTAATGTTTGAAGCTCTTTTTTGTCTGCTTTCTTGTCATATAAATCTTGAGCAGTGAATTTAATATTATGTTCATCCTTCATGACATAAACATCTTTACATCTAATGTTTCTCATCGTCGTTATGTCGTCATCCGATGTTAAACCTTGTGGAAAGTTAGGAGGTTCACAATATAATGCATCCCCACCAGTTTCTTCAACCGTTCCTTCAATACTTTCTATAGCAACAGTTGTAAAACTTGTATGTGTATGGTTCTTATCTGCCTTCTTCATTAACTCATCGTTAACATAAGTTTTATCTGCTTTAAGGTCTAAACATCCTGAAACCCATCCTGTATCAGCTTTAGTTTTTAAAATCTTTGATGTCCATTCATGATACCATTCAACCCTTTCTATAATTTCATTATCTTTTTCATTAACATATTCCTTATCTGCCTTCTTCATTAACTCACTAGCCACAAGTCCCTTATCTGCTTTCTCCATTATGTCATTTAGGAAACCTTTTATGAATTCCTCATTTAAATTAAATCTTCCAATCTTCAAAACTTTAGGAAATGCATTTAATGCGTAATATCTTTGTTCTTCTGGTGGAATTGATGTTATATCATCCGTTATACCTTTAATTTTAGAATTCATAAATAAAATTTCTTTTATATTTGATATCACTGCACCACCTTTGCAAACGAATTCGAAATGGTCATTTTTCAATACTATCTCCAAATCTCCATATTTCAACCTTTGCGTTTGTTCTGCCGTCTTTGAATTATATGCATATATGGCGTATGTAATGGTCTGTGCCTTAAGTTGTTGTGGTTGCTGTTGTTTAATCATTTATTATGATTTAAAAATAAATATTTAATCCGTTATCTCATCACCTATTTTTTCTATTTGAAATTGCCATAATATTTCATTCATGAATTCTAAATCACAATCAAATAGGTCAGTTACTCTAAATTTAATATTTGATAAATCTTTTGAATGAAGAATAAATGAATTCCCGGATAATTGAAACGGATATGATAAAGAAAATGTGTTTAAGTTGATGGATAAAATGTTTTGTATTGATGGGTAAGAGTTAGGGTCTAATGTTTGATGTGAAAATCTCATTGGGGTATTAACTTTATCACATTTGATTAAAATGAAATTGGAACCAGTGTCAGAATACAAACATCCCCAACATCTTTTTCAAAATTTAATATCCCCAACAATGAACGAAGATGAGGAGTACAAAATTTAATTTTCAGTGGGAATTTAATAAGGTTATTTATTTCATCAAGTTCAAAAAGTTTATCAGGTTTTGATTTAAAATTTTCTTCATACCATATGATAAATGATTCATTTAAATAACTTAAAATCATGTTAATATCCCATTTCGTTATCACATTATTTATATACATATCATACATTTTTTCATGGTCATCTTTAATAAATGATATATAATCTGAAGGGTCTAAAAGAATGGATTAAATTTACCACTCACAGAAACGAGAGTAACATTATAAATTCCTAACTTTTTAATATTCACAGTTATTATTCGAAATAATATTGATAATTGACATTTTTATTACGATTAAAAATATGGTAAAGCGTTATTTTCCAGTGATAAATAAAACTAGGATAAGATTACCTCAAGAATTCATAAATTCAACGAATAAGAAATTCATTCATGTTATAAATTTTAGTGTTTTCAGAAAATATGAGTCAATGTCATATTCATCATCGGGTTATATTTCACTTCATTCAAATTTAGTTCAATCAAACCCATATAATGACCATTTCATAAGATTTTCAGATGGTATTAAAAATGTAATTGATAGATTAAAATATGAACAGATTGACAATATCGAATTTTTGGAATTTTGGTTTAAATATCCCGATGGAAAAAAGATTGAAGTTAAAGATAAAGCTGATACTATAACAAAAACAATTACAATGACCGATCCAGATAGTGGGGAACAAAAAGAAATAAAACAAACGATAGAAACTGGAATGAAAGGTCAATTATTATTGATTATGATTCAAAGGATTATTATTCGATAATGTTAATGCTTGAATATTAAATAGCCTTAACAAAGAATTTTTCAAGTGATATTTTATATTCATCAACTATTTTTTATAAATATCATTATATGTTAAATGAAGTTCAGTTGTTGTTCCGTTCTTTGATATCTTAATTGTGCTAATATCCTTTATAGGATTTATTTTTGCAACTGTTCCGCAGCATGAAACCTCATCATCTATGAAAAATTGAATCTTAACGTCTGAATCTTGAACATCACAAAGAATGGCGATAATGTGAATTAATGATTCATAAGGTAAAATAATTAAACCGGATTGGTCAATTAAATTTATTATTGAATCATAATTATTAGTTATTATATCACGGTAAATTTTCATTAATTCAGAATTAATGTCTATTTTATATGGGTTATCAAGTGGTGCTGGGTATGTTGGATAAGTGGGAATTTCAACGGGTTCTTTACCAGGTTCAGATAAAATGATTGGGTCTCCATTCTCATGGTTTTCTTCATTCTCTTCATTCTTCGGTAAGTCACGAGTTAATAAATTTGGTTGAGTTGCTGACCTTGTTAATTCAGGGCTAACATTAACTTTAACATTTTGAATAATTCGTGATTTATCATCATTTACGTTATAACCAACCGTAATCTCTGCTTTTGCGTTAGTGTTCTTTTGACTAGTGAAACGTCTTCTCATTTATAATCGAATAAAAAAAAGAAAAATATATTTAAAGTTTTATTTAGTTGTTACGGTAATATCCCAAGGTTCATCATTGTTTGCTTATACTTTCTTTGTAACTGCACCAATTATGTTATTGATATTGATTTGAGTTTCTTCCAGTCTTATTTTATCATTTACAATATCTTTAATCATTTCATTACATGCATTCTTAAAACCATCTGATTTTTCTAATTTACGTTTATCACTTTCTTTAATTAAATCAAAGTTATAACCTTGTTGAGAATAAAGTGGTTTCTTTATCAATTCCTTGAACGCTTCTGAAAGTGAAGATGAAGAAATTCTTGCCACTTGAATTGGTTTAAATTCTGCTTTCATTGCTTCTTTCTGTTCATTGAACACTGGATCGAATAAAGCAACTTTAAAGAATTTCTTAGCTGAATTTCAGGTCTCAAATTTGCATATTGACCATCAAACTGATTAACATATCGTGGTAATCCATCCGGTCCCTCTTCAATAGCATTTAATTCTTCATTGAAATAAGAATATGGATTAACGTATGAATTAATTGGACCATGTTCACCTTCTCCAATGTATTGTTTAACAGCTTTTCCATTTTCATCAAATTGCATAGGATAATGTTCATTATATGCTTTACGTTTAGGATAATCAGATACAGTTAATTTATACCCATTTATGACTTTAATATTACCTTGACCATCAGTAACGAAAACTTCATTTATACCATCAGGTTTTCCATTTGGACCCGTAATGTCTGCTTCATGTGCTTCCCAATTTGGTCCATGACGTTTGGCATATGCTTGAGCTTCTGGTAATGTTAAAACGTTTCTCATTTGTTTAACATCCTTTTGAAGACCGGCAACAATGTGGACTAATTCTTTCATTCCATCAGGAACTTTCATAGTTCTATTATATGCACCCCTTTTGTTTGTCCCTTGTTTTAATGGAACCTGTAGAAGATTTGCTATTTCTGTCATGTTTAATTATAAATAAAAAATAAAAATTAATTATAAAAAGTTATTCGAATTTAATGGAACCTTTATTTAAATCAACTATTATTTTTCCGTGTTCTCCTAATTGCTGATATTGTGTGTAAAGTTCATTAATGCTCATTGGTAAATTCACTTGATAAAGCATAACGTTCAACTGTTGACGACTAAACCCACTGAAAATGAAAAGGGTGGACAGGTTTGATTTAATGTTTGTGCTTAATGCTTTGAAATATTGAACAGCCATGAAGAATGAACACTGAATGTGTCGACATTGAGTTAATAACTGATTAAAATATGATTTCTCATTTGTTATTAGTTTTGATTTCACGGCATCATCTAGAAAAATGAGTGAATGCAAAAATTCTTTATCAAAATTTGAAATAGAAAGTGTTTCAAATAATTCATCCCTTTGTTTATCAATAATTTTATCCTCTAATCCTTGCTTCTTGATTGTATTATATAATTCTTTATACATTAAAAAGTTTTTTAAATAATCTTCTGCTTCTTCTTGTGATAAATAAATAATTGGAATTTTGATTAAATGCTTTAAAGATTCAAATGTATCATCTGAAGGTGAACCTGAACGGTTGATATAAATTAACACATGTGAATAGGGGGAAGTGTTAGCAATAATGATAATTTGTTTTAATATCGTTAATGTTTTACCTTTATTTTTGTTTACCAATTGCTGCAGTGATTGAATTTAAGTAACATTCAGAATATGGAATTTTCATTAATTTTTCCTTAGATAGAGCATTTCTATTATCACTCAATGCTTCATTAATCATATCATCTACGTATGTATTATATACTCCGCTAATTCTTCAGAATTGAAATCCATTTAATCAAAAATAAATTTATAATTTTAAACATTTCTATTCATCAATATTTCATCATATGAACTTCTATACTGTGGTGGTGTACCTGTTGAATGATATTTCAAACCTTCATCCGGTGTCCATGTCCAATACGTAGTCCTAGTAAACCAAACCTGAGGAGGATTTGTCACCTTTGAACAGTAAGTGTCATTTTCACCTTGAATGATTGGATAAGCTTTCACTTGTACTGTAACTTGTGAGTTGAAAGTTTCTAATCCATCAAAGAATATACCCGCTCCATCACGTTGAACTGGAATAGTGCATAAGAATGAAGTTTGGTCTTTCCATGTTCTAGCTAATGGCGTGCCATTATCATCATTCAGTGGTCTAGTTAATGAGTCCTCGTATTCTTCTGTGCATTCATTCACTCCATCTAAATCAGAAGCTTGAAGCATACGTGTAAAGAATATGTCACCCACTGTGGTCATCGCTTGATCGGGGAAGTTTCTGGAATCTATAGTGACCTGAAGACCTCGAAGCATTGGATTTTCTAAAACTGTTCTTTGCATTGCATTCTTCGGAAATGTTAACACAACATCTGTAACATTATGAAGAGCGTATGAGAAATCTGAGCTGATACCTTCAGGAGTGATGCAACCTCCATTTAGTGAACGAACGTCAATATGTTGAGCTGGAATCATGAATGGATCTTCCTTACTGAATAAACGTGGTATTGCTTTAACTGATTCTTCAATTAAACCGTATCCTGGTGTAATGCATTTATCCTCTAAAACTTCCATCTTTGTGCATGAAATAATAACGTCATCAACTGTTGCGTCAGCAGATGTAGCGGCTAAGCTTGTAATTAATTTGGCAGGAAGTCCGATTTGTTGGAATTTGCGATCATATTTATAAACATGATTCATAATCTTTTCATAATTTTCATCAGTTATCTTTTCATAAACGTAATTTTGTAAATCAGCAACTCTTAACGGGTCAACCTGACAAAATACTAAAGTATCCCTGAAAACATAATATTTAAGAATGATATCACCAAATGATTTAGGATAATCATCGAACGCCTGAAATGCTAACAAATCATTTACCGGAATAATCATATCAAAAGTGACATCAACTTCTTCATTTGCTTTCTTGAAAACTTCTGAAGGGTCAATATATTTACCACATACTGAGTTATCATATTTTTGAACATTATTATATAACGAATGAACAAACTTTTTAACTTTCCTTTCTGATTTTGGTTTATATGTTGCAAATGCGAAAGATTCACGGGCACAATCCATCTGAAGATAACCGGCATCACCTCTTTCGGTTTCTACTTCTAATTGTTTAAAGCTTTGATTTGATGATTTGTAACCAACGAATAAACGCATGCATTTAAAAGCGTCATCACATGTGAAAGCTTTATTTGAAACTAGAGTTGCTTTAACTTTGCGTTTAATATATGTGTCACCTAATTGGTTCACATCATGAGCCGGATTTGTAATTCTTAAATGAGTTTGTTTATCATCAAAATATGGAGCATCAGAGTCATAGCATGAACTTTCAAGTTCTCTATAATATCTTCTACCGTCATTCTTTGCGAATATTTCATTTATCTTTTCGAATGAATGAAACACATTTCCATTAATCGGTTTAGTGTTTGGCACCAAATAGTTAGTCGTCATTTATTATTAAATAAAAAATCAAAATTAAAAGATGAAAATGAATTTTTAATTTTAATGAAATAATCAACTATGGCTGCAGGTATATTTAAGAAACTGTGGGATAAAGTAAAAAGAGGAGCGCATAAAGTTTGGGAAACAATGAAGAAAGGAGCAAATTGGATATTTAAGAATAAAGAAGCAATTAGTGACATTGCTGAATCAATAACACCAAAAGCCGCCCCAATAAGAGAAATATTAAATAAAGGAGAAAAAGTTTATCAAAGACTACAACCGATACTAAGATAAAAATAATATTTATTTTTCCACTATTTACCTCCTATTTTATTAAGTATTCCTTCAGCTATTCCACAAATTGCGTTACCTGCTTGTGCTCCCATCGCTGGATTACCTGCTTTTGTACCTAATACTCCACCTATGATAGTTCCTGCCGTTTTCGCTACTGGTGCCAAAAAGTTTGCAACGGGTTTAATAACCTTTTTATAAACCCAACCCGCAGCTTTCTTAATTCCATCCCATAATTTTTTAAAGAATCCCGCCGCCATTTCTGATTTAATATTAATTAAAAAATATATTTCATCACTTATATTCTAATTTTTATTTAATGATAAATGAAACCAATTTTAAAAATAAATGGAACAGAGGAGGAAGAAATAAATGAAAGTGAAAATGTTCAACAAAAAATAAACGTTGTTAAACCAATTACTGAAACAAAAATTTTTTCATCTGTTGAAGAATTTAATGACTATTATGCTAATAATAAAAAATTATTTGAAGAATTGACAACATGTAAATTGAATAAAATGTTTAAAGTTGATGGATTCAAAATTTCAAAAATAAAGGGGGTGGTTAGTTTGAAATCTATTCCTCAATCAAGAATCACCTCATTAATGAAAATAGATGATTTAACAAAAAGAATAGAAGAGATTGAAGAAAGAATGAATCAAATAATTGATTTCATAAATTCAAATAATCATTAGTTTCTTAAAGTTCTATGATGATTCTGAGACATGAATTTTTTATTTTTTTTATTTCATTATGGTAGTGAATCTTTCATTCATGAAAATAATTATTTCTAATTTCTTTTACTCTCTCGTACATACTAGATTTAAAGAATTCAGAACTTTTACCATAATCTCCTAAATGTTTTCTTATCTTATTGGTTTTCCATTCATTATATGAAACTGTATAAACTTTATTTTTATCTTTGCATCTTTCATCACTTCCAATATATTTATATTTCAATTTTGATTTATTGGTTTCATATTCATTAACGTTTAATAATTCACAGTCTTCCTTTTTAAATAAATGTTTTATGTATTCAGGATTAAGAATTCTATAATATTGCTTCCCTTTAAATCTTTGAATATAAACAGGAACACCATCCTCTAAAATTCGATAATCTATTTTATCTGGTTTTACTTGTTGGGTCATTTATGTAAGAATAAAAAAATAAATTATTTTAAAATTAATGTTAAAAATAATGATACAAAATCGTTCAATATTGTATGAATTCTTACGTTTACAAAAAAAGTCACAAAACCCATCATACCCTACTACTAAATTCGAAGGAACAAAATTTATAACGGTAGATAGATATTAGTCGTTTAAATCCTAATTCGGTAGGACATAAATGCATAAAAAGATCATTTATACTTCATTTATTATAAGGAAAGAGAATAAATCAAGTACAAATAATAGAAAAATAAAAAACTTTTTTACTTACTTAGCAAGGACTTCTTCTATAGAATCTTCATTTTCAAAATCGTGCTTGAATGGATCTTCTTCAGCATCTCTAAGATCATAATCAATCGTAACAGACTGATCCTTTGAGCGAATTCCGTCCGCTCCTTCAGAGACGAAATCGTCACTAGAAATATCCGTATTTCCTTTCCTCTTTCGAATTACGGAATAAGCTACAATAGCTGATATAATGGCCACTACTCCTAATACAATCAAGACTAGTGCCCATATTGGTACCTTATTAAGGATATTGGAGGTTTCACCATCCTTCAAATTAACTCCTGATTCTGAGGCCTTTGTAGTTGGTGTTGGTGTTGACAGTCCTCCATCATTTGCTGATTTCTTGGTGGTTGATGATTCAACTGTGACATCTGTTGAGACTTCAGTTGTTTTTTGTTGTGATTCTGTTGGTTGAAGTGTTTGTACAGGAGTTGTTGGTTGTAGTGTTTGTACAGGTGTCTGTGGAGGAGCTGTCTTTCCAGTTATGCAATAACCATCAACATAATAGTATGTTATGGCATGAGTATAGCTGTCGGCACGTGGCTCATCAATTTCGATGTTTTGGCTATTCTGGTTTCCGTTTGGAAGATAGCAATCTGTAAGAACAATCTTCTTTCCGGTCTTGATCCAGCGGGTGGAATCTGCCATATTAAACTCAAAGATGCATGATTTGATGCCAACAGAGTTAGTAGATACGGATGGAGTACCGACATATAATGCAGCTTTATCATTGTTCTCTGTGACTGCGTTTCTGACGAAGTTTACATGGTCAAAGTATGTAAAAACTTCTGATGTCTGGAAACAATGATTGTACTTGCATGTATTGTCAACAAATGTTGAGTATGTGCAGTATCCGGATGCTTGGAATAAACCTGCGCGACCTTCACCGGTGTTTTTAGTCAGGTTTACTGTATCAAGTGTAACTATGCTTTCTTCTGGCTTTTTAATGAACATTGTGGAACTGTCTTGGTTTCCATCGCCTTTTGCATAGCATTTGGCTGCAGATGTATAATGAATCTGAAGTGGTGCATTAACATATAAAAATGCACCATTTGTTCCTGTGCATTGATCAGCGCAAAGGCCATTGAAAATAATGTGGCCCTGGTAAGCGCAAATTGCACCACCTTCGAAAGCTGAACATTTGGAGAAAAGAAGTCTTTCGAACAAAGATTTCTTATGAGCTTCAATCATCAAAGCTGCACCCTTTTCATTATCCGAATGAATGTCAATGAATGTGCAATCATGAACATAAAGACCATTGATATCACTTCCTGTGATTCCTTGATGTGTATGAAGATCGTGCATGTCATGAGAAATAGGATCTTTGCCATAAAACTCTTCCCATGATGAGAGGGCTTGTCTGACGAAGAAAGAGAGCATTTAAATGAATTGAGACAAAGTAATAATTTCAAATGACGGTACGAACATTCAAATTGAATGAGGACTTTGTTCAAAAAAATATTGAAAAAATTAATAGGACATACATAAGAGGATTTCAAATATCTTGACACATGTCATTAAGATTTCGTATTTTTTGAATTGTTATTTTGAATAAGTTTCTTTGTATTTTATTGAATTGATTTCAATATTCAGCGTTTTCTCTTTATGAAATTGTAATTAATAATACAAACTGGTTTGATGTAAAGTTCTTTTGTGGTGTTCAATAAGTATTATCAGTTTGACTAAGTATCAGAATTTTTTTACTTGTTTTTTTCGCCTACCGGAATTGGAGATAATGAAAAAACAAGTGATTGGAATGGAGAGCGAGTAATTCATATGCAATATGATGAAATGTAATTTCGTGAAGGTAAATTTTGAGAAAATTTTACAGGAAAAGGAATAATAATGGAATATACAGATTTGGACACTAGATAATAAGGGATTTTGTATTGAATATGGAATAAATATTAAAGATAAAATTCAATGAAAATTAAATTTGAGTTTATTAATATATGTATAGTGTTGTTGTAGCTATTTTAATGTCATTGGTTGAAATTTTAATATATGATTAAGCAATAACATGAATATAAGAATTTGTGAATCAAATTTCCCGATTTGAAAGGGAAAAAACTCATATTTTTAGATTAATATTGAAGAAGATAGTGATATATTAAGAAAATGCAGTAGAGAGAGGGAAAAAAAATTGAATGAAAAAAAATTAAGTAAAAATTAATGTGAAATTAAATAGTATATACGATGAAATAGATGATTCTCAAATAAAAGGGAAATTTTAAATTGAAAGCGCAATCGTAAAATTTTGGAAAAAATCAAAAATGGTTTGTAATCATAAATGTAACAATAATTTTATTTTGATAATGATAAGAGAAATTTTGAGCATTCAAAAATTTTACGTCAAATAGAAATTGAAAAAGTTTCATTTAAGATTTTCATCAAAATATAGAATAATAATATATATTTCATATTGGTGCTGGGAGTAATCGAATTCAATTTGTTGACATTTTTTACAACAAGATAAAGTGCATTATAATTTACACTTGAACAAAAGTCCAAGAGTCTCTAAAATTAAAATCTTGACAATTCTTTTTAATTTATTGAAAGGTACGCATTGAATTTGCCAAATTCAATTAAATTCCAGTTTCTCTTTCTTTTGATTGATAATTATAAGCTTATAATTAATTTTCAAATCTTATTCTGATCATTCAATAACATTATTCAAAATTTTGTTACAATTTTAGAAATCTCAATCTACATTGTAAGCATCGGTATTACATTTCACAAACTTTTTCAGATCTAATTGCTCATAAATATTCAATGTATTTTTTTATTCGTTCAAAACTCAGCTATCCTTAATATTACCTTTGTTGTAAACAGAAATTCATCAAAAGTGACACCTCAGAAAAGCTAAAATATTGAATTTTTGGAACTTTTGATAGAGCACGTTTTTAAATATTAATTAAAGTAAATGTATATTTTGTAAAGATTCTTTTTAATAAAAAATAAAATTTTGAAGAAGAACACAAAATCTTCTGAAAAATAATATCACATAAACTCATATTATTTTCTAATATATAACTATTTTATATAAAAATCAAATTCAATGATCTTAAAAGCGAAGGATAAACCTCAAAATTTACGAATATAATGAGTGGGAATATAATGCTTATCTATCATAAAACCATATGAAATATCAATTTTTGCTTTACGCCTAATTTTTGACGACAATTAGCAAAAAATGTTAAATGTTAACATTCAGTCCATTTGAATATGAAAAATAAAATTGACTTTGATTAAATGTTTTTATTTATCATGCAATTCTTCTTGCGACCAAAGATTTGAATAAAAGTTCAAAAAATAAGATAGCTTAAAAAATAATATACGGTAGTGTTTACTAATAGATGAATAGTATATAAATTCTATTAAAATGGATTTGATCCAAAAAAATATAAAACCAAAAATAATTGTTATAATTTAAATGAAGAAGTAATTTAAAACGATTTTATTTATGATCAAATTTTATATATTTTTATGGATCAAATCCATTTTAATAGAATTTATATACTATTCATCTATTAGTAAACACTACCGTATATTATTTTTTAAGCTATCTTATTTTTTGAACTTTTATTCAAATCTTTGGTCGCAAGAAGAATTGCATGATAAATAAAAACATTTAATCAAAGTCAATTTTATTTTTCATATTCAAATGGACTGAGTGTTAACATTTAACATTTTTTGCTAATTGTCGTCAAAAATTAGGCGTAAAGCAAAAATTGATATTTCATATGGTTTTTATGATAGATAAGCATTATATTCCCACTCATTATATTCGTAAATTTTGAGGTTTATCCTTCGCTTTTAAGATCATTGAATTTGATTTTTATATAAAATAGTTATATATTAGAAAATAATATGAGTTTATGTGATATTATTTTTCAGAAGATTTCATTCTATATGCCTATGAAAAGTACTCTCAAAACTAACTTTTTCCTAATTATAATTAAATCTAGAATATTGTATTATGCTTAGTATTATTTCATTTTTCTCATTCAATTTAGAATTTACAAATGTCAAAAAATTGAGAGCTGTCACTTTTGATGAATTTCTGTTTATTACACCTTATTCATTTGATATTACGATAATATGTAAATTGGATTTTGATAGTCTATTCAATTCAATAATTCATCGAAATATAGAATTAACTATATATTCATATATTGTCATTACTATTTACAAATTTTTCATTTAAAATTCAATTAAATTTTATATAACTCAAAAATGTTCTTAAATTGTCGCTTAATATCTTACTTTCATTAATCTACCAATCAAATTTTTTATTTTTCTCAAATTTAGAAAAGTGACTTGATTTTTCTGAACACTTTTAGTGTATAAAACCGCCAAGTAAATTTATTTATAAGAGGACGATATTTTTTCTCTCAAATCAAATTTTAGATCTACTCATGAAATACCATAGAACCACGATTAAAGTCGATTTAAGTTTCCTTCCCACTACAAAAGACAGTGTCCCTGTATTTTTAGAACCAATTCTCCAATTCATTGAAGACAACATTACTGAGGTTGGAATATTCAGGTTAAACGGAAGTCGTGCTCAAGCTTTATTAATCAACGAAACAATTTCTCAACATGTTCCTACCATTCCCCCAGAAAGTACAGTTTATGACGTAGCTTCATTTTTGAAATTATGGTTAATGGAATTACCAACCCCATTATTACCGCCATCCATCGTCTCCACGTACTATGGCCCTGATATTACAAGAGCAACTATAGACGTTCTTTCTCATATAAGTCTAACCGCCAGACTTTGTATTGCACGAATTTTCCACTTATTACAACATGTAATCGAATGTTCAGATAAGAATCAGATGACTTTCGCTAATTTATCTCCCTGCTTTGTTTATGCCTTCACTCAAAAATTTAATGGTTATCCAGGTGATTTTCAATTCCAGCCATTTTTCGCAAATGTTTGCGCCCATCTCAATGAGGATGGTACAGACTTTAATTTAGGACTAAATAAGTCTATACCATCGGTTCCAACGGCTAGAAGGATGACCAAGACCTGCTTAACCTCAATGCAAAGAAGAAATGTGGGCTATATTGATAAGAAAGATATTTTAGAAGCAGTTCCTAAGGATGAAAAAGTTAATAATCTGTTTTGAATTTTTATTCTTATAAATTATCATGTTTCTTTTCTGTTTAAATCTTGCTATTTTTATGAATCCTGCGCAACGATGCTTTTGTATCCTCAAAATAATCATAAAATTTTTGATGGAGAAATTCTCTGATGAAGAGTATTTCTCCTAATATGTGTTCTAAATACATTCTAAATTGATTTCTTACAAAGAAGAAATAAATTAATGCATTGAGGGCAAAACCATTCTTTCAAAATTATGAAAAGTTCAATTAAATTAGGTAATTAAATATACCTCAATGTATCTTAGAAAAATTAGACATTTATTTTGATTTATCCAGAGAGATTTCAAGAAAATTCTGATAAACTAATCGAAGGCGCCTAATTGATATATGTTTTAGTCAGAAGTGTAGATTGCAGTGCAATGCTTCATAAAGAAGTTAAAAGGTTAGAGGCATATATTCGCCCGAAAAATCTTCATTACATTTTATGAAATCAGATCAAAGTATGCATAAATTTATACGTAGCTTCTGGTTTTGAAAGATGATTTGAGATTTTTAACATTGATCGTTGATTGAACAATCAAACATGAGTGTATGTCTGTGTTAGTGAAAGGATGCGTTATAATTTATTTCGTAAATGAAATTTTGATATAGCAGCTGTTGTAAGTGAAATTAAATAAGATTTTTTTGTATATTATAAGCTATTTATTAATATTTATGCTTAAGAACTGTTTTTCTCTTGATGGAATAGCAAGTTCCTCGAACTTGTATTGTTGGTTTGAATTTAGGATTGCCTTCAATCTGTTCAAATTCATTAATAAAATGATAAGAATAGAATCACCAAGTCCTACTTCATCTCCTATTGTTCCGTTAAACTCCTAAATATTGCGAAAAGTAATTTTCCTTTTGATATCAGAAAGAAATATTTATAAATACTAAACTGACTCGATTTGTATGTAAAAAATTGATATATGGATGATTACATTCTGAATAAACTTTATAATGATATTTTAAAATTCCAAAAAAAATTTGAAAAATGATTTTAAATCTTGAATTTTATATTTATTTACTTGAAAATTAATAAAATGAAATATTTTTGGAAAAATCGAAATCTATAATTAATCTTATTAATATATTTTATATATATTTTCATCAGAAATGTTCGTTAAAAATCACATTTTGTGTTTTAATGATTTCATTTCTTCTCGAAATAACCCCATAATCATGAAATATATATTTTTCATTCAATGTATATGTATTGCATCACCTAGAATACTAGTTGGTTAATAAAATTTTTTTTCATACTAATGCTTGAAATTGAAAGGGTATGTTAGGACCTTTCATAAATACTGCTACTGATAATCCTGGTCGCGAAGCCTTGATCAAGATGATGCTTGCTGCTAAGGTTTACCTCGGCTCCACAAACCTCTCCTTCGGAATGAAGCCATACGTCTTCACATCCAGAAAGGAGATAGCACACAAATTATCAACCTCGCCATGACATACGAGAAGATCAAGCTTGCTGCTCGTATGATCTACGCCGTCGAAGAACCAAAGGATGTTCTTGCCATTTCCACAAAGTCCTTCGGTACACGCTGTCCACAAATTCGCTGAATTCCTCGGCGCTAACTACGTTGAGCAGCGTCTCACACCAGGTCTCTTCACAAACTATTTCATTAAGAACTTCTGCGAACCACGCCTCATGATTGTCTGCGATCCAAACACAAACTCCCAGGCCGTTCACTAAGCTGCCTACGCTAACATCCCATGCATTGCTCTTTGCGATACAGATGCCCACCTCGACTACGTCGACTGCGTCATCTCATTCAACACTACGAAAAAAAACTCCATGAGTCTCCTCATGTGGCTCCTCACACGTGAAGTCCTCTGCCTCCGTGGTGCTCTTACACGTACACAGGAGTGGTCTGTCATTCCAGACCTCTTCTTCTACCGCGATGCCGCTGATGAAGCCAAGATCACTGAGGCTCTCGAGGCTGAAGACGAAGAGACAGTCTCTGAAGAAGGCGCTATCATCAACGCCGCTGTTCCAAAGTCTGAAATCAAGGCTGGTGCCACAAACGAAGAGTGGGAGAACAAGCAAGAGTGGGATGCCTAAACATACATCATAATAAAATTATCTCCAAACATTATTTAATTACATAAAGATTTATCAAAAAAATACAAAATTAAAATTGATACTTTCGTATACATTGGTAACATTTTGCTGATCTCTAAAAATGTTAACTTATCATTAATTTTGACGGATTCAACAGATTTGTTAATATCGTTTTTCAAATCAAAGGGAAAACAGTAAAATTGTTATCAAGATTGAATCAGTAGGACGAAAAATTATGATATCAGTAGCAGTCACAGTTTGGAAATCAATGTTAAAAAATTCAAATAAATAATTCATTACAACAACTTAAATTATCTGCATATTCGAGCAGGATCTTATCTTTTGCGTAACTTTATTCATCGCTATTACTATTATTGATGCTTGACCATTATCATCATTTTGAGAATCTTTGTCTGACATTCTAATTGTATTTTATTGAACCTGTCTATGATTTGGCTTATAATGGCGCTAACTATTTTGATTCAGTCCCTTATGAGATCAATTTATCTCCAGGAGCCTGAAAAATTGACTGTTGGGGTGCAAGCGGTGAAACAGTCAATGGAACCAATCAGGGGAATGGCGCCTATACGAGTGGGATTTTATTGCTTCAAAATAATTTGACACTCTATATTCATGTTGGAGCCCATGGTACAGCACGTCAGACCCAATATTCCTACGGTGGTGGCGGTCCTGGCCAAGTAGGCGGCGGCGGTGCTACTGATGTCAGATTGCATCCAGGCCCCTATTACAATGAAACCGGATTGAAAAGTCGAATTATGGTGGCAGCTGGTGGTGGTGGCCATGATGTGATGAGTCCTGCTGGCTCAGGTGGTGGTATAAAGGGTTTCGATAGCGATGGTAAAGGAGGAAACCAAACTTCTGGTGGTGATGGGTTTTATAAAGGGAGGTTTGGATTAGGAGGTGGAAATGGAGCAATAGCAGGAAATAACGGCAATGCAGGAGCTGGTGGAGGTTATTTTGGAGGAGGAACAAGCTTTGATGCGACTATTGGCTCTGCTGGAGGGGGAAGTTCGTACATCAGCGGATATCCAGGATGTATTTCTGTAGATAAAAATTTCACAATGGAGAACCCTATATTTTCCACCGCAGATGATCCATCAATTCATTACTCAGGAATAAAATTTGAGAATCCTAAAATGAGAGACGGAAACAGCATAATGCCTTCTCCAATTCTAAATAAATATACTCCAGAAATTGGGCATTATGGTAATGGACATGCCATCATAGCGCCTTTATCAGAAAATTATTTTCCTAAAAACTATGGTATTCCGATTCGAATACTATGCTCAATTCCGTTGAAAATCGGACGAAACCTCGATAGTGCATACTTTTATTTCATAATGAACTTATTTCTCTGTTAAGTAGTAAAAGCAAATACTTTTTAATTTTATTTATTTTTTTCAGAAGTGTTATCTTCACATAATCCAAATGCAGGAGGTTACAATTCAGCGTGTAAGTTTTATATTGCATAGTAATTATATCCGAAGGGTTTGCTTTCATATTAATATTATTATCTCTCAATTAGGTATTAAATCTTGATTTTTTTTATATCCAATTTCAAATTTATATCCTAATAGATATATGATTAACTTGAAAAGCATTAAAATACAAAGAGCCATAATTAACATAAAGATACTCAAATCAATAGTCAGATAACAAAACAGTAAGAGCATAATTTAGATTTTGATTTATGAATGAAATATGGCATTCAGCTCATTTCACTTCCAAATCTTCTAAAAAAAATGTTTTCAAATAATAAAAATAGAAGATTTTTTAAGAAAAGGATAATTAATTTTTTGTTTGATGATAATCAAATAATTACAATGGAGGAGGGAATGCTTTAAGTGCTCTAAGTACTCCGCACTTTAATTCATCAGATACCTGAGTAGTTAATATCGTAGACAGTGAGTAATGTGCAGTTGTTGGAGCCTTTCCAACCTGAATTGCCGCGCAAACAATGAAACTGCATTCAACTCTGACTCCGACTTTTTCATCATTCAAGAAAGAGATTGCTTCCGTTATCATGTTTGGTTTGCAATCTCTGCAGAATGTTGGCAAAATGGAGATGAAATCATCTCTTGGAGTTTTTCCGCACGATAGAACTCCAGCAGACTGACACAATCTTTCGAAAGCAATTATTTTCTCTTTCTGCTGCAATTTGAAATCTCTTATACAATAACAAAGCGACAAAACAACAAGATAATGCAAATTATTTGCGAAACAAGCACTTGAAACAATGTTCAAGTTGTCACACATCGAAATAATCAATCTAAACAACTCAATAATTACATTTCCTGTCTTCAACACGTCAATCAATGATTCAATGATCAATGGCAATTTGTTTTGTTGGACATTCTGTGGAAGCCAATCGAAAATTGACTCCAAACAAATGAAAGCTTCTTTCCTTTCTTCATAACTCTTGTGGACAGACTTGATTTCGCCAATAATCAAATCCAACAACTCCATCAATGGCTGTTCTCCATATCTTTCTGGGCCAAGACGCTTCAAATACGGTGTTACTTTGAGAATTTGTAATTTGGCAGAATCTTTCAACGCTAAAATTTCAAAAAGTAAAGGGCGTGAAGAATTCATCATCATTCGACCATATCCCAAAACCGCACTTTCCTTTGAAAATTTTGTGAATGGAACGATATGGAAAATTGAGAGATCATCACCGCAACTCTTGAAGAGAACTTCTACAGCGTCTAAATGACTTCCTCCGTGTTTGAAAGCGTCCAAAATATAATAGGATTCTTCCAAAGAAGGATAGTATTCTTGCAAACGTTTCAACGCCTGTAAAATGTTGTCGTAAAACTGTAAACAGTTTTGTGAAGTGACAAAAATAGCGAAAACAAGAGATTGAAGTCTCAAATCTTGTGGAATCTTTGATGTAGAGCTAATCAGCCTCAAAACAGTTTGATGCATGAAATTATCATCACTGACACTTTTTCTTAAAGCGCATTCCATGCAGTAACTCAATGATCCTAAGAAATTCAACAAGGAAATGACAGTCGATGATGCTGTCACTTTTTTATTATCAATCAATGCACCGACAAACATATTCTTGTCTTTTTCATACAAAATCTTTGCAACATTTGTAAAGTATTCAATTGATTTCGCTTTGTAAACTGATTCATACAAAAATCCATCAGATGCCGACAAAAGTGAAGTGAGAAGTCTATCGTCTTTGTAAACCACGTTCAAACAATTTTGAGCTATTGTATTCCAAGGCGAGTTATAGTTCAAACACTCGAAATACGTTTTCATGAAAATGTGGCTGTCATCTTCGGAAGCTGATGGTAAATAGTACAAAATGAAGTTGTCCCATTGTCTGCTGCACATAAATATCTTTTGTAAACATTGTGTAAAAAGTGACACACTTCTATCGTCTTGTAAAAGCATTGAAATTGAGGCAGCAACGATAGGAGTTCTCAAATCATTTGGTTTTTGGCAATTTTGGATGAAATCAGGTTTTATGTCGTAAGGGAAATCGTTTCCTTCGAAAATGAACTGTAAAAGATTTTCGAAATTATAAACGGTATTTGTAAACTGCATCAATTCCTTGATTAAACTCATATGGTTTATATTTTGGCACAAAACAGAAACAGCTCTCTTCAAAATGTCTTTGTTCAGTTCGACATTGTATTTCTTAACTAACAACAATAATGACCTGATACTGCACCTTTGAACACAGGTTTGATTCGATGTCAAAAGACGATAGATAAGGTTAATATGATTTTCCGGATTTTCGCAAACAGATTTTAGAATTCTTCTTTGAACAGCTGCTGAAATTTGTGGCGGAATGTCTTCTTCGAACAGATATTCAGTGTTTTGAGGTGGATTCTGTTTGGATCCGTATTCCAAGAGAAAGATTCTTCTTCCTAAACTGTCTTCTGTCTTTTTCGTGATCTTTTTATTGAACAAATCTTTGGAAAGTGTCGGATTTCCATTGACATTCTCAATCAGGAACAAATCATCTGCAAATTGGGAACTCTCCTCTATATTCTTTATATCAATGCCCTTAACTAAACTGTGCAGTTTGTCTTTGTTACAAAAAGCGGCACATATCGTAAAAAGTGACGATTTAAATGAATTTTGAGCTTGTTGATTCAAGAGAGGCCTGTTTGGAACATCGGGGTGTTGTTCGTTCATCAGCTGCTTATGGAAACTAAATACGTCATCTAAAAACGTTTCAGAAACTGTCAAATTTTTGAAAAATTTTGTTGTAAATCTGTAAATACAAGAATGACAGTTTTTGTCGTACAAAACTTCACTTGCGTTTATCAGTTCTTGTATGTTGAATGTTGTGCCAACAGAGTACATGATGTCACACTTGGAGTGAGGTGAAAAGTAAAGTGAAGTCAAGTAAAGAAACGTTTTTGCCAAAACCGAATCTTTTGGTAAATTTGAAACCAAATTTTCTCTGGAAGAATTCTTCAAAATGGCGAAACAGAGCTTTGCCGAGGAAATGAAGTGCGGATCGAATGCGGCATCGAACAATCCCCCCAAGATATGGTCACTTGTGATGTTTTGGAGGAGTTTTCTCTCAAATTCTTGTTGATAATTGCGAGATGCTGAGGAAATCCTGATGATTTGAGGTGCAACAGGTCCTACATCGGTTACTGATGAACAAATCTCTGCAAAGAGTTGGAGAATTAAGTCTCTTTGGCTTTGATTTGTTGATTGTGTCAAAAGACCTGGAAATTCGTTGGAAATCTTATGCTTCTCTTCGGAAGTGAGCTGAAGATTCGATAAAACATATAAAGAACTCTCTTCGTGAAGACTTGAAAGACATCTGTCGACTAATTTCTCTCCTGTATGATCTCTGACACTGGAAAGAGCTCTGACAGCTTCAGGAATGCCTCTGAGTACTTCAAAATCTGTTTGGCTGACAAATGCTTTGTAATTCTGCTTGATATAATTTAATAATGGATCTGTAAGAGAAGATAAAGCTTCTCTGAGGCCAATAGCATTAACATCTGCTCTAGAGAATAATGCGGCGGCAACTGTAGTAATTTGTGATGCTGTTTCCTTTTGAGAAATATATTTTTTGATTGTTGCTGCGACTTGTGTGATTTTTGGTGATGCATCTGATGGAGAAATTGTTGCAACTGCGACTGACAAGAATTTGAAGACTTTAGAACGTATCTGCTCGTTATCAATGTAATATGGGTCGAAAACCTTATCATAAATCAAACTAAACGCGGCAGGAATGTCCTTTGTGTTGATTACTTGCAAACTTGCGAGGAATATATCAATAAATATCTCAACGTAAGGTTCAGATTCTTCTCTTCTTGTAAATTGCTTCAATAAGCGATCAAGAACGCCCGAAATATAGATTGATATGTACTGATCTCTTAATAGAAGACATTTCAATAAGTAAGATAAATAGAAATAGTTGACTTTGACATTTTCTCCAAAAATTGTATTAAACATTTGATAAATCATTTCTGGGTAGTTCTTTGCATATATTATGAGGAGGCTGATAGATGGCTTTACAAGGTTGAACTTCTTTTCATCATAAGAAGATAATAAATCAAATACGTTTTCTGTGATTGTTTTCGCATGATTTATTTCAAAATCATCTCTTTGTGATATTTCTTCGAGTATTTTGAAGTAATTTATGCATTTCTCTTGTTTTTCGTCAATATTTTCTTTCATAATTTTGAAAATCGTCGAAATTACTGTGATTTTATGCTTGCCGAAGAGTTTAGCAGACTGTGAAGCTATTGATTTCACAGAATCTGTTGTATCTTCAAGCAATAGCCTAAGACACGAGTTTAAAGAATTTTCATCAATCATTAGAAAGTGAATTCATTTTGCTATTAAATTCAATTTACATTTTTTTAATCACCCAAACTAAAATAATAACAATTAAAAATTAAATGGTCAAACAATGAAAAAAAAATATTTTTTTTTGTCTGTTTTTGTAAATTTTTCGAATGAAGAACTTTGAAGAAATCCAAGTGCTAGGTGATGGCGCTTTTGGCGTAGTGACAAAGTGCAGGGATAAGGAAACAGGAGAAATCGTAGCAATTAAGAAAATGAAACAAAAATTCGTTAAAGATTTTAACGAATGTTTACAACTCAAAGAAGTCAAGTCATTAAGAAAAATCAAACATGAGAACGTCGTCAGATTACTTCAATTATTCAGAGATAATGAATATTTTTACATGGTTTTCGAATGTTGTGGTGAATCGTTATTAAAAACGATGTCTAAAAGGACAACAAGATTTAGCGAGTCCGAAATTCGTTATATAATGCATCAATTTGTTACAGGGCTTGCATATGTTCATAAACAAGGCTTCTTTCATCGAGATATTAAACCAGATAATTTACTTTGGTGCGGTAAAACATTGAAAATAGCAGATTTTGGTCTAGCAAGAGAGATCAGAAGCAGACCACCATACACTGAATACATATCTACTCGTTGGTACAGAGCTCCTGAAATTATTTTACGACATAAGTCCTATAACTCTCCTGTAGACATCTGGGCATCTGCCTGTATCATGGCCGAACTGTATATGGGCAAGCCTTTGTTCCAGGGAACCTCAGAAACAGATCAAATGTATAAGATTTGCCAGATCATGGGAAATCCTTCTGTTCAACAATGGCCTGATTGCGAAAAGTTAATTCTACGTCTTGGTTTTCGTTTACCTCAAGCAACTGCCGTTCCATTAAAGACTTTGATGCCGGAAGCTTCAGATGAAGCAATTGACTTGATGTACAAGATGCTTATGTACGATCCGTCAAAGCGCCCTAGCGCTCAGCAGGTTCTGGCCCATCCTTTCTTTAATGGTCCGATGGATTGTCCAGTTTCTGAAGAACCAAGCCAACCAGTAGAAGAACCAAAGCCACAAGTTGAACAACAGAAGAATATACAGCTAATCAGGACACAACCGGAGTTCAAAACCGATTCTTTCCTCGATGAGCCGAAAAGAAACACTTTTGAGGCCAAATACAACTTACCGATATTCAATGCTCCATTACCAAAGCCAGCGGCAACTCCAAGTCGCTTGAATGGAATTCTAAACAAGACAGATCTTCCTCATCGCCACAACGGAAAGATGAATCCACTTACTAATAACCTATTCATGGCAAGACCAATGCAAGGAATAATCCCATCAAGGCCAATCCCTGATGGATCCAAATCTGCAAAACCAGAATTTAATTTTGAAGACGATGACGATTTCGATATTGACGAATTCCTAGAAAATGATTATTAATTTATATCTCTTAATCTTGTTTGTTAGTTTTTTAAAAATCTGATATTATGTAATTTTTTTTTTCATTTTAATTGTTTAGCTTAATACATGTTATAAATTTTTATAGATAAATTTCAACTTTTGAAGAAAAACGAAAATATCCCAATCAATCTCATTATATTTTTTATATATTCCATCTCATGGGAGAAATTCTTTATGTTATTGCATTTTTTGGCAATAATGATGACTATTATGAGAATAACACTATTAACACTTCAAATAATGATATAAAATTTATTCTTCACCTTATCTTCAGAGTCCTTTGATTTTCCGGATCCAGATTCATGTTCGAATGTTTTGAGAGTTGATACATAATGGATTATATTAGACACAATATCTGGATGTTGATCAGGATTACAATATACCCTATAATTTTATGAATATGGCACTTTTCGTCGATTTTCAAAGAATTAAATCGCTTCTATCTCAATAACTAATAAACATATAAGATTTTTGAAAGTATATATATAGTGTACTACATCTCAAGATATTATTAATATGTATTAGAAAGAATAATATATTGGATTTTGATATCACAAAATGACTTTTCAATTTATTGTAGTTCCTCACAGAGTTGAGATTCTACAAAATTCTTTGCAGATAATTTATGAAGGGATGATAGACTAACGAACTATAGATACATGAATTGAAAATAAAAAAAGCGATTAAATATGAACCTTCATAAACCGTTTAAGAAACTTAAAAACTATTCTTTATTGTTTATTTTGGACGAAGTTTAATATGATTGTGGTTTTATTGGACAATAATCGAGTAACGGAAAAATATAACATTTATCTATAAAGTGAAAATTTAGAGGTATATTTCGTAAGATATTTCCTCTCTGATTACAAGAACTATTGTGAGCTATCAATCTAATGAAAGAGAGCAGATTTGGCCGTAATGAAAATGCAATACTTCGAAAATCAATGCAAAAAAGATTAATTTGTTAGAAACAATCGACTATGACACTGAATTCTAAGAGCAAACGTTTACATTAGGATATTTTGATCATTTCCAAATATTGCAAAATTGCATTTAAACAAGTTAAGGAGAATACTATATTAACCGTGTTGTAAGGAAATATAACAATTTTAAAGATTTTGCGACAGAATTTGAAAAAATATGAAAATCAGATATATAAAAATTGAATAAAATAACATTATGATGGAATATAAGTAGATGAGCTATTAATGCTGCTATGATTTAAAATTGAGTAGTAATGAAATAGAATTTCGATTAAAAAAATTAATGTAATCGTATGAAAGCTTTGATCCAATAATTAATATTCGCAAATATTTTAACCTACTAATAAAATTCTGATTATATTAAGATATTTTAAAAATGAGATTCCAAATTGAATGGTGATGGAGATGAAAATTTTTAAAAATATAAATAAGAGGATAAATTGATTGAGATATTAACTAGTAAATATTTGAAAAAGTAAATTATTTGAAATCCTTTAAAAAAGTTACGGATAAAAGCTATATAAATAAAATGACTGGTGTGGTTGGTTAGCTTAATGTGTAATATCAAAAAGAATTAATGGGTGTTGTGAAGTGAGCAACTTTGAGAAGAATCATTTGTGATTCTTGTCAAAGTTGAATCAAAGACAACAATTGATAGACAATTGTTGTCTTTGTGTACAACATTCACTTGAATTATAAACAATAACAAGTGTTTGTTGTTCACTGAGCAACTTTGAGAAGAATCATTTGTGATTCTTGTCAAAGTTGAATCAAAGACAACAATTGATAGACAATTGTTGTCTTTGTGTACAACATTCACTTGAATTATAAACAATAACAAGTGTTTGTTGTTCACTGAGCAACTTTGAGAAGAATCATTTTGTAATACTTTGAAACACAAAATAGCATATTATGCTTTTATTTATCTATATGTGTCATTTTGGGAGACATTGTCTATGCAAGTCTCCCAGAATGACACATTCATACACAATCTTCTTCTGATTGTGTATCTTTTGTCAACAAAGTGCAACAGTGCACTGTTATTGTGTGCTATGCGTCATTGTGGGAGACATTGTCTATGCAAGTCTCCCAGAATGACACATTCATACACAATCTTCTTCTGATTGTGTATCTTTTGTCAACAAAGTGCAACAGTGCACTGTTATTGTGTGCTATGCGTCATTGTGGGAGACATTGTCTATGCAAGTCTCCCAGAATGACACATTCTTCTCAAATGTTCTTACACTCTATTAAAACTATTCATAAATACAATTTCAATCTTATTCATTTTCTTCCTATTACACGTATCGAATCCCAACCTACTGAAACACTTATTCCTCACAATCATTCGCAAATTTTTCTAATCTATGTTTTCTCAACTATTATCCTTTACCTTCATAACAGCATTTAAATATTCCTAATGAAATTTAATGTTTTCATATTAAATACTTAATCACACAAAAATTATATTATCAAATTTTTATCATTCTTAAATTCCAGATTATATTGCTTACTTTGCAAGCTAACTATAATATAGTGTGATAGCCTTATTGAACTTTGATCAAATACTCCTTCGTCCGTTAAAAATTAAGATGCGTTTAAAAAATCGGAAAAAAATTCTTTTGTTTTATTTTTAATTTTTCAACCGATAAAACTTTTTAGAAAAACTCCAAATTCCAAGAAATGCTTAGATTCAATATGAAGAACATATTCATACAGTCATTTCGTTTCAAATTTCAATTTTCAAATCGAACAAAGCTGCAAATTTGAATACTTTACAAAATTTTGAAACGTCTTTTCCCGAATGAATATTGAGTTTCAAGCCGGACAAGCTATAGCAAAACTGATCCTTATGACCCACTCTATCATTTTGGTTTTTTTGCAAAACGTGGGTAAACACCCATCTCATAACACATTTTTTGCAAAATTTGGTAAAATCCGTGTAAATGCTCAGATACATGTGGCCAATAATATTTGAATACTGACAGGTCCGGATATTAGGTTTAAATAGCTGATTTAATTCGAAATATGAAAAAAGATGAAATCTCAATGTAATATAGTAAATTAAGAATCAGTATGAATGGTTATATGATTTTGATAAAAGAAAACTGAATGAAATAGAAAAAAATTTGATTCTTAGAATTTGAAAGTAATGAAAGAAGAAAAAGTGGATTTAAAGGAGGTTTTATGATAAGGTATTGTCGGGTATTAGAAGCGAACGTGTTGAAGAGAGATATTCAGTTAATATGAGACAAAATTAAAACAAGAATTGAAGATTGTGTATGAATGTGTCATTCTGGGAGACTTGCATAGACAATGTCTCCCACAATGACGCATAGCACACAATAACAGTGCACTGTTGCACTTTGTTGACAAAAGATACACAATCAGAAGAAGATTGTGTATGAATGTGTCATTCTGGGAGACTTGCATAGACAATGTCTCCCACAATGACGCATAGCACACAATAACAGTGCACTGTTGCACTTTGTTGACAAAAGATACACAATCAGAAGAAGATTGTGTATGAATGTGTCATTCTGGGAGACTTGCATAGACAATGTCTCCCACAATGACGCATAGCACACAATAACAGTGCACTGTTGCACTTTGTTGACAAAAGATACACAATCAGAAGAAGATTGTGTATGAATGTGTCATTCTGGGAGACTTGCATAGACAATGTCTCCCACAATGACGCATAGCACACAATAACAGTGCACTGTTGCACTTTGTTGACAAAAGATACACAATCAGAAGAAGATTGTGTATGAATGTGTCATTCTGGGAGACTTGCATAGACAATGTCTCCCACAATGACGCATAGCACACAATAACAGTGCACTGTTGCACTTTGTTGACAAAAGATACACAATCAGAAGAAGATTGTGTATGAATGTGTCATTCTGGGAGACTTGCATAGACAATGTCTTCCAGAATGAGACAATCTTCCGCAATTAGAATACGATTGCGGAACTTCGACCGACAAGAGTGCATTATGCACTTTTCGTGTTTTAATTTTGTCTCATATTAATTAAATATCTCTCCTCAACACGTTCACTTCTAATACCCGACAATACCTTATCATAAAACCTCCTTTAAATCCACTTTTTCTTCTTTCATTACTTTCAAATTCTAAGAATCAAATTTTTTTCTATTTCATTCAGTTTTCTTTTATCAAAATCATATAACCATTCATACTGATTCTTAATTTACTATATTACATTGAGATTTCATCTTTTTTCATATTTCGAATTAAATCAGCTATTTAAACCTAATATCCGGACCTGTCAGTATTCAAATATTATTGGCCACATGTATCTGAGCATTTACACGGATTTTACCAAATTTTGCAAAAAATGTGTTATGAGATGGGTGTTTACCCACGTTTTGCAAAAAAACCAAAATGATAGAGTGGGTCATAAGGATCAGTTTTGCTATAGCTTGTCCGGCTTGAAACTCAATATTCATTCGGGAAAAGACGTTTCAAAATTTTGTAAAGTATTCAAATTTGCAGCTTTGTTCGATTTGAAAATTGAAATTTGAAACGAAATGACTGTATGAATATGTTCTTCATATTGAATCTAAGCATTTCTTGGAATTTGGAGTTTTTCTAAAAAGTTTTATCGGTTGAAAAATTAAAAATAAAACAAAAGAATTTTTTTCCGATTTTTTAAACGCATCTTAATTTTTAACGGACGAAGGAGTATTTGATCAAAGTTCAATAAGGCTATCACACTATATTATAGTTTGCTTGCATGGCAAACAATAAAATTTGAAATTTAATAACTTCATAAAGATTTGATAAAACCATTTTTGTGTAAATTAGTATTTAATAGGAAAATCTGAAATTAGATTAGTCAAACATATAAATTGTTATTATATGAAATGATAACAATTGCTAAAACATACAGATTGGAAGATTAGGTGAATTTTTGTGATGAATAGGTGTGTTTGTATGTAATGCCTCTATAGTATATTCATAATAAAAATTAG